CCATTCTCAAAGCTGGGGACCTCCAGTAATGGCATGAAAGGAAGAGGATTTATAGTGCATGAACTGAGAGTGTTAACAGCAACCCGAAGGAGGATCTAACAAGCCGGAAGGAGAAGACAACAGAGGAAGCTCCTCCACGTCAGCGATAGTAAAAGTACCCAGCACGCAAAGAAGCGGTTCTAAATGTGCCCAGAAGAGATTTTTTTTATTAACAGAAATTCAAAGGAACATTACTAACATACTAACAGAGAATTATATGTGACAGGACTAGGAAAAGAAGTTTGACAACACACAGAAGAAGCTCAAGAAGTTTAATTGGACATTACTAACAGTTTAATTTACCAGTTTATATATCACTCAGCTTTCTCTTTCTCCCACTGTCTACCCTTCCCATTTTTTCTTTTAAGCGAAATACCTCCCCTTTTTAGGGGAGCCAATAAAATCTTTATAAAAAAAAAAAAAGAAAATTAACAGAGAGGATAGGACCTTATCCATGTGTGTTCTGAGATCCTCCTTAGGTTTGACTAATGCTGATCAATTAGGTATCTAATAGATCTATTAGGTATGCCTTGAGTTGCTTTGCCACTATCCAGTTAATGACCTTTCCCCACAGTTATAAGTTTAACACCAATGTGTAATTGGCCAGATCATCCTTTACTAGAGAAGGCTTTTAAAATAAAAAAATTCTCACGAACATGAGGAGTTTAGGAAAATTTCAAAAAATTCCCTACAAAGATATTGAAAATCCTGATTGTAGCCAGAAACATAAGAACGTAAGAGAAGCCAATGTTGGATCAGGCCAATGTTGGATCCAACAGTATCACACAGTGGCCATAAATACCAGGTGCCATCAGAAGGTCCCCCAGGGGGCCAGAACACTAGATGCCTTCCCACTGTTGCCCCTCCCAAGCACCAAGAATACAGATCATCACTTTTCTCAGACCAAGACTTCCTATCTATTTGTTGTTGTTCAGTTGCACAGTCGACTCAGACTCTTCACGACCCCATGAACCACATCACTCCAGGCCCTCCTGTCTTCTGCTGTCCTCTGGAGTTTGCTTAATTTCCTGTTCATTGCATCGAAAACACTGTCTAACCATCTCATCCTTTGCTATCCCCTTCTTCTTTTACCTTCAATCTTTCCCAGCATCAGGGTCTTCTCCAGTGAATGCTCCCTTCTCATTTGGTGGCCAAAGTATTTGAGCTTCAACTTCAGTATCTGGCCTTCCAGGAAACAGTCAGGGTTGATTTCTTTTAGGATTCACAGATTCGATCTCCTTGCAGTCCAAGGGACTCAGGAGTCTTCTCCATCACCATAATTCGAAAGCATCTATTCTTTGGCGCTCAGACTTCCTTATGGTCCAACTCTCGCAGCCATACACTACTACTGGGAATACCATTGCTTTGACCATACAGACTTTTGTTGGCAGGGTAAAGTCTCTACTTTTTATTATGCTGTCTAGGTTTGCCATAGGTTTCCTCCCAAGGAGCAGGCGTCTTTTAATTTCATGGCTGCAGTCACCGTCTGCGGTGATCTTTGATCCCAGGATCATGAATTCTGTCACTGCTTCCATGACTTCCCCTTCTGTTTGCCAAGGAGTGATGGGGCTGGATACCATGATCTTAGTTTTTTTTTTTATGTTGCGTTTCAAGCCAACTTTTGCGCTCTCCTCTTTTACTCTTAGCAAGAGGCTCTTGAGGTCCACTTTCTGCCATTAGAGTGGTATCATCTGCATATCTGAAGTTGTTGATGTTTTTCCCAGCAATCTTAATTCCAGTTTGTGGTTTATCCAAGCTGGCATTTTGCATGATCTACTCTACATATAAATTAAATAAGCAGGGTGACAATATACATCCTCGTCGTACTCCTTTTCCTATGCTAAACCATTCAGTTGTTCCATATTGGGTCTAACTGTCACTTCTTGACCCTCATAAAGGTTTCTCAGGAGACATGTGAGGTGGTCTGGTACTCCCATCTCTTTAAGGACTTGCCACAGTTTGTTGTGATCCACACAGTCAAAGGCTTTAGCATAGTCAATGAAGCAGAAGTAGATGTTTTTCTGGTACTCCCTTGCTTTCTCCATAATCCAGCGAATGTTGGCAGTTTGTTCTCTAGTTCCTCTACCTCTTCAAAACCCAGCTTGTACTTCTGACAGTTGTCTATTCACATACTGCTGAAGCCTAGCTTGTAGGATCTTGCTAGCATGTGAAATGAGTGCAGTTGTGCAATAGTTTGAACATTCCTTGGCATTGCCCTTCTTTGGGATTGGAATGTAAACTGACGTTTTCCAATCCTGTGGCCACTGTTGCATTTTCCAAATTTACTGGCACATTGAGTGCAGCACTTTAACAGCATCATCTTTTAAGACTTTGAATAGTTCAGCTGGGATACCATCACCTCCACTAGCTTTGTTGTTAGTAAGGCTTTCTAAGGCCCATTTGACTTTGCACTCCAGGATGTCTGGCTCAAGGTCAGTGATCACACCATTGTGGTTGTCAAGGACATTTAGATACTTCTTAAATATTTCTTCTGTGTATTCTTGCCACCTCTTCCTAATCTCTTCTGCTTCTGTTACGTCCCTACCATTTATGTCCTTTATCATGGCCAGCTTTGCACGGAACGTTCCCTTGATTTCTCAGATTTTCTTGAAGAGATCTCTAGTCCTTCCCATTCTATTGTTTTCCTTTATTACTTTGCATTGTTCATTCACGAAGGCCTCCTTATCGCTCCTTGCTGTTCTCTGGAAATCTGCATTCAGTTGGGTAAATCTTTCCTTTTCACCTTTGCCTTTTGCTTTCCTTCTTTCCTCTGCTGTTTGTAAAGCCTCATCAGAAAGCCACTTTGCTTTCTTGCATTTCTTTTTCTTTGGAATGGTGCTGATTGCTGCCTCCTGTACAATCTTACAAACTTCCATCCATAGTTCTTCAGGCACTCTGTCTATCAAATCTAGTCCCTTAAACCTATTCTTCACTTCCACTGTATATTCATAAGGGATGTGATCTAGGTCCTATCTATACTTTATGTGATCTCTGGGGAAGGGACAGTAGCCTTTAGGTAAGTACTTGATTAACTGCATGTGCTACTGTCCCTGCAGCTGGGACAGAACTACACATGGAGCCACCAATTACTTTGATCAAGTAGTTCTGTGCATGCAGTGCCTGCCTCATTTATTTCAAGTCATCTGGGCACATTTCCTCAATTAATGAACCATAAACAGATTTGTGGATGGGAATTACGCCAGATTTGTATTGATGAAAGCTCTTAAACAAGCAGCCCAATCGGTACCTGTTCACTCATATGTAAGTCTCGCCTTGTTCCTTGGGGCCTATTCCAAAGAAACTGTGCACTTTTTTGTTGTTCAAGGTTCAGTTTCACCACTTTTTATTAACCTGAAAATGGGTTGGCTCTATCTTAAGCAGTAACAAGCAGTAAGAACATTTAGCAGCCAACTGCAAAAAGGCAGATACAGTTCAGCTGTCAAAATGGGATTATACAGAATTAGTTATGATAGCTGTATAAAACATGTATATTAATGCTGTGTTTAAAGGATAACTGTACTTTAAATATAAACCAACCTACAATTTGCGTGATGACAGTGCCAAATTCCAATTTAATCTGACAAGGAGTTTTAACAGCTGTAAAGTCTACAAGAATCACCTGACAAACTACAGACTGCTTTTTAGAATAAGCAAATAGAAAATCCCCAGCATCATCAAGGTGTTGGAGGAGAAGGAAAACGTCTCTGGCAGATAAGCGTACAGAGTCAAATATGGGATTCTGTTCCAGGCATTTCATCACTGTCAGAGCGAGTCAGTTTTCCCCAGCCTCTTTTCTGTGAGCATTGAACTGCCAGACCGTGATCAAGATATTCAGAAGTATCTGTGTTCCAAAGATGTCAGAATTTAGGGAGACAAGAGTCTCCTTCAGTTCCACTTAAGTGGTTGCAGGACTACTAGAAACCTTCCTTTCCTTGGATTACCAACATGTGTTCTGCTTTTTTTTTTTGTTCGTTTCTTTAAAATGATCTTCATTGTAAAATACAATTTAATCAGTGTAAAGGAGTTTTGCTATCTGGCCACAGACATCTACACCTATTCACAACCCTTACCCTTGTCTCTAAGATTCTGTATTTCATTTAAAGGGGTGGTGTCCCACCAGCTTGCCCATATTTGTCTGTTGCTCGTTAAGCCAGGGCTTAGTGATAGAGCATCTGCTTTGCATTCAAAAGGCCCCAGGTTCAATCTCTAGCTAAAAGAAACAGCGATGTGGGAAAATGTTGTCCTGAGACCTTGGGGAGCCACTTTCAGTCTGAGCTAACATTACTGACCTTGATAGACCAGTGGTCTGACTCAGTGTAAGGTAGTTTCATCTGATCCTGTGGTATCCATTTATCTTCCTCTCATATTTTAATCATGCCCTTCTTCCAAGGCTATGAGGGCGGATTACCCGGTTTTCTCTTTCATTTTATCCTCACAACAGCCCTGTGTGGTAGGTTAGGCTGAAAAAGAGTGATTAGCCTAGGCCTCAACCAGGTTGCAGTTGTGCCTTGAAAATGTCTTCTGGATCCTGCTTGGAGCCCCAGGGGCCCACCAGCAATCTAGCAGCAGGTAGACGATCTGCTGGGCAACTGGGTGAATCAGGAGGCTCAAGCTTAGGAGGTAGGGCTGGAACTTCCAGATCATTTACCATTTGATTGTCAAAAGCCCTGAAGGGTTTTTGATTATTCAAGAGCTAATTAATCAGGCAGCTTTCAGCATTCATGGAGTTGGAGGAAACAATCCTTTCCCTGCTGAGGAAGGATTGCTCCTGCTCTGGAGCCATCCTTCCTGAGCTAAGACAAAATCTGTGAGCTGGATGCTAAAAAACTGTGAGCAAGCTCACACTAATATTGGCCTCTACCCCTCTCAGTAAGGAATCCCCAATTACCAGTACACACCTTCTCCTATACTGGGGAGCAGAAGCTCAAGTTCTCTCATCCACAGGGGCCTGAGAAATTTCCTTCAAGCTTCACGGAGGCTGGGGAAGTAGCCCTTGTTCTAGTGGTCCAGAATCAGTATCTATGGGGAGATCCTGGAACTGATTGCTTAGCAATAGAGGCTCAAAATGTCTCCTGATTTTCCGGGTTACATTTTTCATGCACCCTCCTGTGTTGGGTGCTTCTCCATTTGCTGAGATACCTTTTCCTCCTCCTCGTGTTTCCCTTTGAAAAACACTTAATGCATTCTGTCCATGAAATCTTCACCTTCCCTTATAAACTGGAGTGTGGACAAGCATTCCTCAAGCATCTTTATCTTCTCCTCCAGTAGGACTACACTTGGTGCAGTGTAATTGCTGTTACCCTCAGGTAAGAATATGAACATGCCACAGACTTTGCACGCCACTGTCTCAGCTGGCTCATGCTGCTGCAATCCATGTCGCTTGGATTGTCCCAAAGCCCAGGTATCCCTAGCCATTGCTTGACTATTTAACTAGTACACCACATTGTCTGGGAGCCTAACATTGAGAATAACCACGTCATGCAGGCTTCATGATAGTTTTGGAACTTAAGTGCCTCATTCCCAGCAGCCTCAGTATTAGCCACACTTTTAGAGTGCTATCCTAAATGGGAAGTATCTTCAGTGTAACTCCTTAATGGATATGAAAAGTTCTTTAGTCTAGAAAGAGTGCCTAGATTTTCCGTTTTCTGTAAATTTTTATAGTGTGATTCCAAACATATTTACTGAATAGTGTGTCTCACTGAGTAAAGGGTTCTTGGGCTTGCCATGCTTTTAGTAGACTTCTCTATCTAGCGAAACCATGGGTTAAGTAAGAAATCAACAATTTTTTAAGTGAACACATTTGTACTGAACGTTGTTATAGTAACTTAGAAAAATATTGATTGTGAAATGAAATGTGTTAGTTTTGAAGTATTTTTAATTAGAGAAAAATAATTTCAGCATTTGCCTCAGGTAAGTTTTAATTGCTGTCATCAATTTTTTTGCTGTTGCAGATTTCAGACAGCCTCATAATGGAGTACTTTGGAAAATACAAGCACAGAATGAATGAGCTGGAAGCTTTTAATATGGTAAAAAACCCACAGTAACAGGAAGAGTTGTTCCTTATGTTTATTTAAGGCCACAGTTGGACCAAGTTAAACTTCTCTGAAGGGGTGGATCAGTTTATGTTGGGATATATTCTCAATAGAAAGAAATGAACGCTGAATTCAGAGCATACTCTCTTCAGAATTATATGAGGTGTCAGTAAAATAATAAAGTTAACATATGGAGTTCCTTTTTTCAAACATAATAAATGTTGGAGGAAATGTTGGGCTCCTTTTGAACCCATATTGGTTTCTGTGCATTTATTTTGCCAATGTTCTTTTTAATACCTTCCTTTTAATGCCTTCACTTTATTATTGTTAGTTCCCTTTTAACAAGATTTCTGCCACTTGCAATGTGTATTATATTCTGGGTTGTACCTCAAAGCTACTGAGTAATAGATGCCCTGCCTATTTGGTCTTTGATCTTTATTGCCCTGATTTTCTGAAGGTATCCAATAGGGTAAAATTGGCAGGTACTGGTTTTTCTCAAGAATATGACCTACTTACTTGGTGTTTTTTTGTGTGTGTGAAAAACAACTGAAAAGTGTCTGCTCAGTAATACAGGATCAGTGCCAAGCGCCACTCTGGAAACCTATCTTGAAACAAAAAAATGTAGCTAATGGATATATTATAGCATGATTTACCTCACATTTGCATCACTGCATTATGAACAAATTCAGTCAAAGAACATTAGGCTAACTTATTAAAAATCAAAGATTGGATCCTGCCAGCCTTTCTGCCAGCATAAAATAAAGGGCATGGTTCTTTTTTGACCATCAAAAAAGTTATGTTGGTTAGCATAGGACGCATGGAGACAAAAACGCAGAATGAGCCTGCAGTAAAGAGGGGAATTGGGCATGTACCCTCTTGTGCCAGCAGAAAATCCACTAGAAGTATGAGATATTAAGAATAAAATAAATTTGCAGTTCGTATAATTTGTCTTTTCAAGTAAACTTCATTCATTTCAGCTAGATTTTTTTAAAAATGAAACTGTGTAAGATTTGGGATAGAGGGCTGCTCTTTATCATTTTTCAATAGCAAAATACATTTATGTCATGTGAGCTAATAGGTGTTTAAAACTTTCTTTTTAGTTGAAAGTTGTTCTGGGACCTTGTATAGAGACGCTGATACTTCTAGATCGTCTGTGCTATCTCACAGAACAGGTAATTCTTGGATGTATGATACTAGGGTGAGTTGATGTATCAACTATGTGGTTATACTGTAAATTGTTCATTCAGTAGCAAATAAAGTCATTTTTGTTCAGTTTAGATTATTTTTTATTTATTTTTTAAAAGAGATCACACATATTAGCCAAACTTTTAAAATAATCTATCACTCCAAACATTGCTCAGCAGATGTTTTTACTTTGGGCAGATCTGCTGCAGTAAAGCTTTTATGTTCTTTTAATTGCCTGGTAAATTACTAGTAATAAAGAAACTGCATCGCCCCAACTGATATTTTAATTGTTAATTCTTGAAGTGCTAAACAACCTTTACTTTGTGCTGACTACTGCTTTCAGTAAGGACTTACACTTACACTTACAAAACATTTCATATACTGTGTTTAAAGGTGTTATTGATGATTTTGATATTATAATCTGCCTATTGTGTTCAATGCAAAATAATTTTAATTATATTTTTATTTATTTAATTTATACCCTGCCCTCCCTGCCAAAGGCGGGCTCAGGGTGGCTTACAGATTTTTCTTAAAAATACAATTAAAACCTATTATCAGAAGCATAAAATACCAATCATTTAAAATACAATTAAAATGCTGGAACATGCGCATGCCCAGAGGGGAGGGCGCAGACATCCCACCAGTTCCTTTCTTACCGCCGTGTTGGAAAGACCTTTTCTCCGTCGGTCTGATCGGTTTGCTGTTTTTGGCTATTTGCCTCACGGCTCTTTGGATTTTTTCCTCACTTTTCTCCTTTTTTCGTATTACTTCTTCGTTACCTACTAAAATTAAAAAAAAAAACTTTTATTTTTTCTGAGGGGGGAAGTTGCCATTTACCTCAGCTTGGCCTTCGGGCTCTACCTCCCCCTTCTTTCTTCTCTGCTCTTCTTGTTCTATGGAGAAGAAGTGGGGTAAAGGCTGCGGCAGTAAACTCGCACCGCCTGACCGCCACACCCTCTGTATTTTTTGTTTGGGTGAGTCTCACCGACCTGAGTCTTGCCGGCACTGTGGTAGGTTTTCGAACCAGACCCGAAACACACTCGGCACCCTCTGACAGGGAAAATAGGAAATTAGACGTGTTTGGGAGACACTTCTACTCCACGGGTGCGTTGGGGGTCAAAACCCCTAACTACCTGGCCTGCATGAGCAGATATCAATACACTCTGTGGGAAAGGTTCTCTGAACTCCTGACCCACTTCCCTGGGGTCAAAACCACTAACTACCTGGCCTGCATGAGCAGATATCAATACACTCTGTGGGAAAGGTTCTCTGAACTCCTGACCCACTTCCCTGAAGACAAGCTTCAGGCGGCCAGGATTATTCAGAAGGAAGGTATGGTCCTTGCGAAGCAGCAGATCAACACTTCCAAACATGCCCTAGATGCTTCCCCCAGAAAAATGGCCTCAGCAATAGCTCTTAGGAGGCACTCCTGGCTCCGCAATACCAATCTTCCACAAGATACTAGTTCCTATGTCGAAGACCTTTCTTTTGATGGCCTTGGTTTCTTCAATAGCACGACCGATACCATGCTCCAGGATATGGATAAGATCATAAAGGCCTCTCGCGCTCTAGGAGTGTCATACTCCACGAGACTACAATATCACCCTCGCACATGGTCTAGGCCCTGGCAAAGACGCACCCCAAATCGTCAGTCTCCTGACAGGCAATGGAGACCACGTACGGCTTCGGGTGGTCAAAAACCCGCCTTTCAAAAGCCTAAGTTTGGAACTGGACAGTCCTCCCGCACCAAACAAGCGAAGTCCTCCAAGCAGGGCTTTTGACTTCCCTCCTACAGATCTAAGGGAGCTGAACTGTTATGTCACCTACCACCGCTTCCGCATGGTGTCCTTGCAGCAGATTATGTGACTTCTCCGGAAAAACATCTAGATGGCCACCCTCGACCTCCAAGACGCATACTTCCACCTCACCATCCACCCCTCCCACTGCAAATACCTACGCTTCGCAATTGGTCAACAACATTACCAATATGCAGCCCTACCATTCGGCCTTTCAAGCGCCCCAAGAGTCTTCACAAAGACTATGATTGTGGTGGCAGCCTTCCTCGGTCTCAAGGGTATCTCCATCTACCCGTACATTGATGATTGGCTCTTGGTAGCATCCTCCAACGACACTCTGGTCTCAAACATCAACGAGACAATGGTACTCTTGGAAAACCTGGGCCTGCAAGTCAATCTGCTAAAGTCTCAACTTCAACTGGTCCAGAAAATACAGTACATCGGTGCTCTACTGGTTTCCAAGACATGCATGGCTTACCTGCCAAAAGACAGAGCGGCAGACATCATCCACCTAGCTACCATTGTCCGTACCCAACCTTCAGTCACGGCCTTCCAGATACAGAGGCTACTCAGCCTTATGGCCGCAACTACGTCGGTCCTGGTCTTCACAAAACTAAAAATGTGCCACCTACAACTGTGGTTTATCCGCAACTTCGATACAACGAAAAATGCACATACCACCGTCCTAACCCCCCCCTCCCAATATACGAGAGGCTTTACTTTGGTGGACAGTCCCTTCCAATCTTTTCCAGGGAGCACCCTTCCATCCTCCGTCACCCCAAATCACCCTAATAACAGATGCTTCCCTGACGGGCTGGGGTGCCCACACAATGAGCCTTTGTGTTGGAGGCAAATGGGACACGCAGAAGAGGAAGCAGCACATAAACTTCCTGGAACTACTGGCAATACAGTATGCTGTTACCAGCTTTCTACCTGTGATCAAAGGGAAATGTGTCACGGTCCTCACGGACAATGCTACTGCACTCAGTTATGTCAACAAGCAAGGGAGCACTGTCTCCCTACGCCTCTGCAACCTTGCCATCCAGTTGTGGAACCTTTGCATTGCAAACATTTTCCTCGTAGCCACACACATCCCTGGACACATGAACGTGCAGGCAGATCATCTAAGTTGAGCAGGACTCAGCCTTCACGAGTGGGAGATGAACCCAACCTACCTCCTCCCACTCTTCCGCAGGTGGGGAGTTCCCCAAGTCAATGTTTTTGCCACCAGAGCCAACAAAAAATGTCCTTTGTTCTGCAGTCGAGGCGGCAGGGATCCACAGTCTCTAGGAGACAGTCTCCTCTATCTGTGGTCCACAGGCCTTTTTTACCTTTTCCCTCCACTACCCCTGTGTGTAGATTCTCTGCCCCCCCCCAGACCAGTCCAGGAATGGAGGGGAAAGAATTCTACACTGGAACAATGCATTACACAATCAGCCAGAGAGATAGGCTCTCTGGATTTAAGAACAATAGCCACCAGGAACCTCTCAGGTTAATCCCTCACCAACCTGAGATTAGAGGTCCCCAGAATCTCAGTTGGCATGTGGGTTTTACACATTAGGAACTCTGTCCAGAGCTGCACAGTTAATCTTACAGGGTAGGACAATTGGTCAGTCAGGCTACAGGATTTAGTTTGGAGTACAGTTACCCAATCCAGACACTATTTATAAACAAGAATAAAGTTTATTCAGTACAGGTTTAGCAATCAGATTACAAAGATTCAAAATAAGAAAGGCTAGGCAATGTTCTGCCTTAACTACACATTATAGATGCATATTTACCAAGTCAGGAACAGTTATCAGTCCAGAATAGTCCATGGTAATAATCCAATAGCCCCAAGGGATTTGGAGCAAAAAGTCGATCTTTGCCAACCATGAGCTGAGCTCACAAAGCAGTCCTTTGTTCTCTCCCAGGCCACATGGCAGCACAGCATCTCAGAGGGACAACATACGAGCAACAGCGAGCATAGCAGGAACAGAAGAGAGAGAGAGAGTTCTCCCATAGGGTTTAAGCAGATATACTGCAATTCAGTCTTCAAATTAGCTCTGGCCAGGAGCCAATTGAAGTAGATCTGGGTGTGCCCAATGGTAAGGTTGTCATGGCTACAACTTCTGAATGGTCAGTTGTCTTGGAGGTCACACCTGCAGTTGTGATCCCCCAAGCCCCAACTCTCATTGCGTACGTGCAGCTTCTAGCATGCTGGCCTAGCTTCTAGCATGTAGGTGTGAAGGTATGTGGTTTATGGCATGGCAATTGACCAAATGGTCAGCCATCTGGTTTCAATAGGAAATCAACACAGCAGGGATCATTCCAGGGAGACATGAAGCCTATAGAAATCAATATTTCTATACACCCTGCTTCTGAGAGTGGTTTGCAAAATCATCAGAGACAGAGCGGACTGCATCTTAATAACCCCGTGGTGGCCGAGGCAACCATGGTTTTCGACCGTCCTCGAGTTGTCAGCAGGGGTCTACCATCAATTCCCTCCGGCACAGGACCTCCTCTTCCTGTCCAACTCTCCTCCCCTATACCATGACGTGCCACGGATGAAGTTGACTGCCTGGAGAATACCGTCTACACCTTTTCCACCCGCGTAGCTAACATTTTATCAAACGCAAGAAAGCCTACTACGCAGAAGTCCTACCATTACAAATGGCAAAGGTTCTGTTCCTCCTTGGGTGACGATGTCCCTCAAGCCACTTCCGTGGGTCTCGAGAAAGTTTTCCAATTCCTCCTGTTCCTCGCTGACTTGGGACTCGCTCACTCCTCGTTAAGAGTTTATTTGGCTGCACTTTCAGCCTACCATGTTCAAGTTGACAAATGCACACTGGTTTCACATCTGCTTTCAAAACATTTTTTAAAAGGTTTATTGCATCTGTACCCTCCTGTCAAAACTCCTGTCGTTCCCTGGGACCTTCCTCTAGTTCTTCATCAGCTCACGAGTAAACCCTTTGAGCCACTCGCAACTTGCGACATGAAATTCCTGTCATGGAAGACGGCCTTTCTGGTTGCTGTCACCTCTGTGAGGCGAGTTGGAGAAATACTGGCTTTCAGACATGACATGCCTTACTTGTCCTTTTTGCCAGACGGTGTCCGCCTCGTACCTGACATCTCATTCCTGTCAAAGGTAGTGTCAGAATTCCACCTACAGGCAGAGGTCTTCCTCCCGGATTTCTTTCCGGCTCCAACATCCTCAGAGGACAGACTGTTACACACTTTGGATGTGAAGCATGTGCTCCTGTTCTACCTGAACAGAACCCACCCAGCGAGACGTGACTCCCAACTGTTCATCTCGTACGCACCAGCAAGGCTGGGGACTCACATCATGGCTCAGCGCCTCTCAAAGTGGATTGCGGGGCTCATCCGCCTCTGCTATCTGAGCGCCAAACAGCCATTGCCTGGCCCTATCAGGGCCCATTCAACCCGAGCTGTTGCAGCCTCCACTGCCTTCCTCCAGGGAGTTCCATTAACGGACATTTGCAAAGCCGCTACTTGAGCCACGCCTAACTCCTTCATAAGGCACTACGCCCTAGATGTCTGGAAGAACTCTAATACCAACATGGGACATCACATTCTATCTTCGGCTACGCAGTAAGGACCTGCCAACACCCTCCTCCAGGTAGGCCACTGCTCGCTAATCTCCCATGGGTGTGAAGCACAGAGACCACGTCGAAGATAAACAGGTTGCTTACCTGTAACTGATGATCTTCAAGTGGTCATCTGTGCATTCACACCACCCGCCCTCCTTCCCCGCTGCTGTCAGCTTCTACATTTTCAATAGGGGTTGATTCGCGGCGGTTTGAAGGAACTGGTGGGATGTCCGCGCCCTCCCCTTTGGACATGCATGGTGGGGTTCCTGCGCATGCCCAAGGTCTGGGCGCGAAAATCTGTTAAAGAGCTTGCTACAATGCCGATCGATCCAGCGTGTGCGCACTGAATCCGATGGGTGTGAATGCACAGATGACCACTCGAAGATCATCAGTTACAGGTAAGCAACCTGTTTTTGCCTAGGGTACACTTTACTTTCAGCACAGTGATTGCTCCAGCATTGCTTGGAATAACATACAACTTCCTCCCATGCGGTTCGTATATCTTGTATGCATAAGCACCATACTGATAATGCCTGTCCAGTAAGGAGGAGGTCGTGTTGGCTTGGTGTATAACCACGCAGTTCTTCCTAACCATGTGGGGAGAAAAAAATACATGTGATTCAGAGTGACATGGGAGAATCAGAGCTCCATGATCTATACTGCTGCCTATCTCCACAATTATTTGCTTCATGCGTTGCACATGTGCTGTTTCTGGGAAAGGCTGGGAGTGTACAAGTGGCAAAAAAGTATTTTGGTATTCAAACTTTCTACAACAGTTTCATGCAGTGTTATATTAGTTAAATAGGCTGTTTTTCTCTGCAGTGTTATATTAATTAAATAACCTGTTTTTCTATGTATTCTGTTTTTCTCTGTAATAAGATTTTCTTTCTTTATTGTACATTTCTCTGACCTTTTGGAAATAAAGAGTTAGAAATATCTTAATAAATATATAAAGATGTGGTCCAACAAAAGGAGATAACAAAAATTAATACTAAATACCCCCCCCCCCCGCTGCCTTTTCTGTATCATTGCCTGGCAAAGTATACAGGATTATTGTAAGCCGCCCTGAGCCGCTTCGGCGGGAGGGCGGGATAAAAATCAAATAAATAAATTAAATAAATAAATAAATAAATAAAACCTTACAATCCTTCATTGTCCCAGCTGCTGAACACATATACAAAAATTGTGTGCGCTGTTAAAAAAAGGAAAAAAGAGATGAATTTCTACAATGTAAGCAATCATACTTGTTCATAGAAAGGCTGTTGAATGGGAAATCTGCTGCACTTTGAAGCAGCACACAGTGATCAGGGATTCTCATACTGAATGGAGAGTAGTCCTCTTACACCCCAGGCACTTGTTTTGTGCTCTTGCACCCAGGGAAACCTCATGTACGTAAAGCAGGGATTATAGTAAGCATATGCAGAACATTTCAACATTGACATGCATTGACATTCATATATGCAGCAAACACTGACAAAAAGTAACTGCTCATATCAGGCCAAAACCACAAGGAAGAATAGGTGAGGCAGGGCAGGGAAAAGGAGTTCTTGGGTTGCTGAGCTAGTGGTTAGAAGCTGGTGAAACAAGAGCTCTCCATATGGAGTAAGCAGCAGGGATAGTGACCAATTTTACTATTTTTTAAAAAGCCTTTATATTTAAAATGCGATAGATGGCCATGTGAGTGTGCCTGAAAAAATAGTTCTTTCATTTATTACATATAACTGCAGAAAGTTGGGGCATTTTTAAATTACAACATTCAAACATATTGCAGTTTCAGAGATTTTGGGTCAAATGCTTTTTTAATGTATTCTGTTTGTATGTCATTTTATAGGACAGCCTTGCCTGGTCTGGACTGGTGAAGTTATTTGATCCCATAAAATCCCCCAGGTGCTATGCAGTTGTGGCTATGAAGAAACAGACATTTCGGACACAGAAAAATTGCTAGCAGAACTGTGAACTGCTGCTGCTGTTCTACTTTCCATTTTGTTGTTTTATGGTTATTAAGCATTCCATGGATACTTTTAGTTAAAAACTGACTGGTGTATTTTATGAAACATGGTAGATGAATCAGAAAAATAAAATACAGACTGTCAGTCCTGACATTTTACCTTCTTCCTAGGTGGATGTGACTGGGTTTCGTTACTTCCTCATAAAAAGTAGCAAACTTTACAAAGAAGTCAGTCAGAATTACACCCTTCTAAGTCCATTGGACCCTGACCTGGATGGCCCTGGGTGAACTAATCTGATCAGATCTCGGAAGCTAAGCAGGGTTAGCCGTGGTTAGTACTGGGAGGGGAAACCACCATGAATGTCCAGGCTTGCTGCTCAGCAGCAGGCAATGACAAACCACCTCTATTTGTCTCTTGCCTTGAAAACCCCGCAGGGGTCACCATAAGTCACACTTTCCACCACCAAGTCATTGAAATCAGTGGACTTAGAAGGGTGTAACTGCTTAGGATGGTGCCATCTTTTGACCTCTTGGGAGGCACATCACAGCCACCCCATCTGGCTTTTCAACACTAAACAGACTGGGGGTAATGTGGCCTGCTGCAAAAGGATTTTTTTTTTCAATTAACAATGTTGATTTCTGACGAGAAACAGGCGTGACATAGTGACTTTTGTTCTCTGGTGGTCCGAGAAACAGGCGCGACATAGTGACTTTTGTTCTCTGGTGGTCCAGGGAGTGGGGCATTCTTGACTTCTGGGATAAGGCTCCTCTTCTCCAAAGGCAGGGTAATTCGACTGATTGATCCTGGAGGGGGGGCGGCACTTGTCCCAATGATCCTCAGTCTTTCTGGCTCTGTCTTCTGAACAGGGTGTCCTAAGCAGTGCTCCTTTGAGCAGCGATCCTGGAGTTTTCTTATGTTAATTTGTTGTTTTTCTTCTTGACTTCCTTCGGGAAGAGACTTGTCTGGCCAGGGAAGGGCTCTACACACACACACCCCAAGCCATATCAGAGCGGCAGCAAGTACAAAAGCTGACAGCAGTAGGTTTTTCCTAGGTCCATGGCCCGACCACAGACTCCCTGTGTGGTCTCCAGCCCTAGGGCCAGGAGCATCTCTCCCCCCCCCCCATTTTGCTGAAGCTCTCTGTGGGAAGGTTGAGTCCACAGCAGCCCAAACCAGAGCACTGGCAATCCCGGTGCATTTCCCTGGGCTTGGAGGAAGAAGCTCCGCTTGGCAGCAGGCTGCAGGAACACAGAGCAGCTCCATAGAAAGCGTCCCGGCTGAACCATGATAAGGCGTTCCTAAGGGAACCAGGGGGCGTGTGGAAGGCAAGCAGGAGGTCTACCTCTGTAGTAGCCAGTGAGCTCAGGCTCTTCAGCAGTCTGAGGGAACAGGCCTAGGCGAGGGAAGCCTTTGTTGATCCTCCCTATTGCCATTCGGTAGAGGGCTCACTTCCACTTTTGTTTTGTACTTTCTGTTTGGCTTTCAGCATGGAAAACTTGGCAGGAATGTCTGTGAGGGTGGGACTTTCTACCTTTCAGTCATCTGAGAGTGCAGTCTGCACCCTGGATCTACCCCTTTCTTCTGCCTCTGTTGCCTCCCTGGTTTCTCAGCAGGCCATGGAAGGGGAGAAGGTTCAAACTAGATTTTTCTGGTGAGGTCTCCAAGACAAATCTCTTGGAATGGCTGAAGACAGAAACGAGGAAAGAATTCAGGGAGTTCCTGCAAGAACAGACACAAGACTCCACAGATGCTGGCTTCTCTGGAAGTCAATCCTCTAGAGAATCTACCCATAAAAAGGAGGAAAGGCACACAATCCGAAAAGGGGGGGAGGAAATAGGGATCATAGCCCTTTGCTTAGTATCCTGTTGGGAGGACTCTGATTTTTCAGATTTCTCCTCAGATAAGGAGGAAGGGGAGCTGTCAGAGGAGGAAGAAGAGGTGGTTGCCCCAATGCAAAAGAAACTCCCCAGGAATTATATAATAGAATGCTCCCAAAGGTCTAAGGTCCTTGGAGATCTCCCATAAGGCCAAAGGGAGTCTGACCCTGAATTTCCAGACAGGTCAGAAAGAACAATCCCTAAATTGAGAACAGCCCCATCGGGGGTTCCCCTCCTAGCAGCCTTCTATAATTTGATGGAAGCAAAGTGGGAAGCTCCAGCTAAGCCGAAAGCTAACAACCCTCTTTTTTCTAAGTTTTATTCTTTAGTTCCGGAAGTCACAAAAAGGATCAAACTACCATTAGTGGATGATCCAGTTAACAGCTTGGCGTCTAATTCCATGCTGCCTTTGGCTGCTGATGGCATGCCCAAGGATTCATGTGACAGGCAGATTGAGCAGCCCTTGTGCAGGAATTTTGAGTCCTTGGCAACAGCCATAAAAGCATTGGCAATGGGGTCCCTGTTTGCAAGAGCCACCTATGCCTGGGCTTTGCACCTGGCAACAGCAAGCAGCAACGGTCCCAAAGATTAAGAAAATTGCACTGGCTTCAGCTTTTGTGGCAGATGCATCCTTAGATGCTCTACAGATGTCAGCCAGGTCAATGGCTTTTAGTGTCACAGCCAAACGTAACACTTTGCTTAGAAATTGGGATGTAGATCCATCTGCCCAAGCCAAGGTGGCTGCAGTTCCCTTCAAAGGCATCAATCTTTTTGGAGAAGGGTTGGATAGATACCTTGTAGAAGACAAAGACAAAAAAAGTCCTGCCCTTGAAGAAGAAGGAAGGGAAAACATGAAAGTACTTCCAGTCCTTTCAAGAGGTCAAATGTCTTCCATGTACAGGCTGTGCCAGGCCCTTCAAAGGCAGATGGCAGTCCAACTGTAGGCAGGAGAGTAGTTCTTCATCCTTCAAGTCTAGCCAGAAATTCAAGGGACCAAAAAAGGGAGCCTCAGCATGACTATGCCAGGGCAATGGACATGATTGGGATTCAGGGTCATCTGCAAAGATTCTCAAATGTTTGGAATCAAACAGGAAGTGACCAGTGGGTACTGGAAACAGTAACCAATGGATAATAACTGGAGTTCAACTTCAAACCTCCCAGATGGTTCCTCCAACTTCCAAGAAACCGATCAGAGCACATCTGCACAGGAAAATTCAAAATGCAAACACTCAAATCCATAGTTGCAGCCATTCAGAAGGGGTATTTCCTGGCATCCATCGATCTCTCTGAGGCTTATTTACATGTTCTGATACGGGAAGCCCATTGCCATTTCCTGTGCTTTGCCTACAATGGGAGACACTTCCAATATCAAAGCACTACCTTTCAGTCTGAAGTCATCACCCAAAAAGTATTTACAAAGATCCTGGTAGCCCTGGTAGCTCACCTGAGGTTGCAGGGAGTGTCTTTTTTCCATAACTAGATGACATCCTGATCAAGGCCCCATTGTTTCAGCAGGGTGTGGAAGCAGTAGAGAGGGCTGCAGCCTGTCTACGGACTTGTGACTTCATGGTCAACAAAGGAAAGAGCAGCCTACGCCCTTCCCAGAGTATAATGCATCTGGGGGGTGGAGTGGGTGATTGAGATTTAGCTCTAGAAGCGACAGTGTTCAAGGTCTTGAGAGTGTTGTCTGATAGATCCCTTCCCTTCAGGAAGCCAACTTGATCTGGGTGGGTGTATTCTGTTATGAAGGCATTGAGTCTTCTAGTCATGATAGCCATTAAGATTTTGTAGTCACAATTCAGCAGTGAGATCAAATGATATGACGCCGGTGAGGAATGATCTTTGGAATGGCACTGCCTTGATGTACACAGGGCTCTGAGCTTCTACCTAGATAGGACCAAACCGTTACACTGTCATTTAGAAAGCCATCTTTAGGTCAGAAAGTGTCCATTGCCACCCCAAACAGATGAATTAGGGGGTGCATAATTCTCGCATACAAGGCCAGGGGTTTAGAACCACCTCAGGGCATCACGGCACACACCCTAAGAGGGGCAGCAACATCGGCAGCCTCCAGGTCCTTCCTATCTTTAGAGACTATCTGTAAGGCAGCCACCTGGAAATTGGTGCATTCTTTCACCAAACATTACAGGGTAGATAAGCTTGCCTCCTTTGAGGCCGCATTCAGCAGG